GTGCCGATAGGCAGAGGGATCTGGGTGCACAGGTACACAGGTCACTGAAAGTGGCAATGCAGGTGGAGAAGGTAGTCAACAAGGCATATGGCATGCTTGCCTTCATCGGCCAGGGCATTTCATTTAAAAATTGGCAGGTAATGTTGCAGCTTTACAGAACCTTAGTTAGGCGGCATTTGGAATATTGTGTTCAATTCCGGTCGCCACACTACCAGAAGGATGTGGTGGCTTTGGAGACGGTACAGAAAAGATTTACCAGGATGTTGCCTGGTATGGAGAGCATTAGCTATGAGGAGAGGTTGGAGAAACATGAGTTGTTCTCAATGGAATGATGGAGGTTGAGGGGCGACCTGATAGAGGCCTACAAGATTATGAAGGGCATGGACAGAGTGGACAGTCAGAAGTTTTCTCCCAGGGTGGAAGAGTCAATTACTTGGAGGCATAGGTTTAAGGTGCGAGGGGCAAGGTTTAAAGCTGATGTACAAGGCAAGTTTTTTTTACACAGAAGGTGGTGGGTGCCTGGAACTCGCTGCCGGGGAGGTAGTGGAAGCAGATACTATAGTGACTTTTAAAGGGCATCTTGACAAATACATGTATAGGATGGGAGTAGAGGTATACGGTCCCCGGAAGGGTCGAGGCTTTTAGTTGTGACGGGCAGCATGTCGGTGCAGTCTTGGAGGGCCGAAGGGCCTGTTCCGGTGCTGTAATTTTCTTTGTTATTTGTCCTTAGTACAACTGAAGTATCTTATTTTTGGCAGTCATCATGAGGTCACATATAAGCAATGGTTCCTCCAACTACAATATATTGATAGATTCTTGAACTTTCCAGAATGCATAAATGTATCAAAAGACATTCTGGATGATCTTTGCCATTAAGGTATGACATGACATATTCTCTAAACATGCTCACAAAAATTACCTTGTGATGTCTGATTATCTCAATAGAGAGCAACAAACTGAACAAACTAATAGGGACAAGTTGTAATGAGCAGGATGCTTCCATAAATAACTGTCATCTTAGAGAACCAAGAAGGAGATAACACAAAGTGATATCAATGCAATGTCCATCACATGCCACTTAGCCAATCCGAGACTGACCATATCCTGTTTATGCATTGGCAAGCTGATCAGAGCTTAGAGACATCACTGACCATGCACAGAGGTAATGACTAGCAAGGGTTCAAAAGCTGAAGCTCTTAGCAGCCAGGTCTGCAGAAAGAAATGACTTAAAAACAAACCAGAACCAATTGTCCAGCAGCCAAACCTCAAGTTGGTCAAGTCAAAGAGTCTGATTGCTTTATTAAGTATGACTGAAAATATTATTTTTTTTCTTATTGTGTACAAAAATAATAAATTCTGTGAAATTGCTGAAAATATACTTGGCGTATTCTGATAACTAATCAGGACCGAAAGAGCTTTTAAAACTTAAGTCTATAACTATAATTGATTTAAATCTTACAATTAAAGTTAAGTTGAACACTCCATGTCTTAAGCAGTGGAATAACATAAATGACTGTCACACTAAGTCTGATTATAAATGACCATTAAACCTCCTGAGGCACTTTTCATGGTTACTCTGTGCATGGGTACAATGATTAATTGCTAAGGCATCTATTATAGGAATCTGGTCACATAGGCTAATCCAGTTAACTGCAGCTGACAGCAAGCATTTCTTCACACAGAAAGCAGTGTTTGGGTGGAAAAAGCATGGTAACAAAGATCAATGAACATTTATCTATTACATTTCCAAACATCACTGATTATTGCACTCAAATATACTTTTTAAAAGTAATTGCATTCAATGCAATGCAATGGGAATGGCATTTCATCTGGTTTCTCAGAACTAAAAATGACCCAATTTACACTTGGATATCAGGACTAAAGTTCAACATGATTAGCATTTTAATGTACTACAGTGATATTGTCAATGCTTGATGTCCAATGGCATTACCATCGCTGAATCCCCAACTATCAACATTCTGGAAGGTTACTATTGACCCGAAACCAAACTTAACAAGCTATGTAAATACTCAGGAAAGAGGATAGGAATCCTGCAACAAGTAACATGATGATGATTCCACAAAGCCTGGCTGTTATTTACAAGGTACAGGTGAGGAGTGCGATGGAATGGTGTCCAATTTCCTGGATTTGTGAAGATCCAACAATTCTCTAAAACCTCATCGCCATCCAGGATAAAGCAGCCTGCTAAATTAGTCCTCTCAGTTAACACCTTCAACGTTCACTCTTCCTTCCGTTACTAATGCACAGTTCCGGCACTGCGTACCATTGACAAGATGCATGAGAGTATCTCATTGTGGCTCCTTCATCAACATCTTCCAAACCCGCAATCTGTACCATCGAGAAGGACAAGATAGATGGGAACACCACCACCACCTGTAGGTTTCCTTTCAAACCACATACCATAGCATCCTGACTCAGAACTAAGTCACTTTTTCTTCAGTGTCATTCAGTCAAAATCCTGGAATTCTCTTCCTGATAGAAGTATGTGTGCACCTACACCACATGGGCTTCAGTGCTTCAAGAAGGTTGCTCAACACCACCTTCTCAAGGGCAATTAGGAATGGTAACAAATACTGGCTGAACCAGTGAAGATTGAATCCAGTAAATGACCAAAGAAAATGTAAAGCAACATAAAATATTGGTTTGCATCTCGGAATTAATGTCATAACTTCAGGGAGCAATAAAGTCAGATTCAGTAAAATAGTTTTAAGGGAGGAACGTACCTAAGAACTAATAAAGACAGGTTTAACATGAAGGGATTTTTCTTCATCAGTGCAAATCAATTGAAACTGTTATTTTCAAACACCATTTATTTCATACTGTGTGTCAGCTACATTGTTTCTTTCCATCAATATTTAATTGCCTGTTTTAATGATATGTCTTCAGTCTGAAGAGCAGCTTATTCCTTTCAACAAAGGAATGGCGATTGTATGATTCTTTGTGAATCTACAATGCCTATCTTTACCTCAGCTACCAAATTGCTACATCAATTACACTCAAGGATATAAATAGATAACATGCAGAGGCTTCAACATAATTGAAATTCTTTAAAATGAAGTGTCATTTCTGCTCTTGAACCAAACAACTTTAAAAATCAAAACCGAAAGAACTGCGGATGCTGTAAACCAGGAACAAAAACAAAGTTGCTGGAAAAGCTCAGCAGGTCTGGCAGCATTTGTGAAGGAAAAAAGAGTTAATGTTTCGGGTCCGGTGACCCTTCCTCAGACCCTTCCTCCTGACCCGAAACGTTAACTGTTTCTTCCTTCACAGATGCTGCCAGACCTGCTGTACTTTAAAAATCAAATGCTTAAATTGATAATGAATCTTTAACTTAAATTCTGAGATAAATTCTGAAATAATTCTGAGGAGGTGACTCAAAACAGTATTTTTAGAGTTTGCTCCAAGTGAAATAACACATTCAAACATAACTAGTCATGTACATGCATTTATTTGGAAGTCTTCTTTCTAATAAAATAGTTTTTCCCTTCTTGATTTTTCAAACACCTTCCAGATTTGAACTTGGGAGGTGGATAATGCAGGAAAGCAGGGGACGGTCATGTCAGAAGAGTTCCTCAACTCAGATTGCTACGAAGGAAGGTAGCCAATGGCAGGAGCAGCTGCTGCTTGGCCTACCCAATAAAAAGGGAAAGGGAGCTGAAGTGGATAATTATAGTCATAACTTGACTGATATTAGAAGGTAGACCCCAGCATTCCCAGTGAACAACAGCCTTTATTAAGTTTATACGCTATATCCAGGAGATGATGAGAGAGGACATCTCTGGAACCATACACTTGGATTCCTGTTCCGTCTGATCTGATGTCATCATGACACAGATCCTGATATACATGTCAAGCTTCTACCATTAGATTAAAGGTTCTATTAACACTTAATTTCACAGAAGTCCAAATTAAGAGCAATCTTAGCTGGCTGCCAATATTTTGCCAATATTAAACAGCCCCTCCCCCTCAACCCTAAGTCCGGCTGCATTGAAGCAGCCTCACTATGACTCATAATGTGACCTAGAAGTCAGAGGCTCCATATCTCAGGGAGGGGGCGTTGACAGCAGACGTCAACTTGCAGTTCTCTGTACTGCTGCTAAATAGGTGTCTGCTCCACTTGCTGACTCCTGCCAGCGTGGCTCATCCAATAAAATCAAGACATGCTTGTCTCGCCAAGGGATCCTCCATCTCTGGGTGGCATTGTTGAGGATCCAGAGCAACTGAATCTTTAACTGAGTTGGCAGCATAAGAGACCTGCCCACCATCTTCTTTAGGTGGCTTCCCCCACCAACTGGCTCCTAATTGCCTACTCTGGGCAAAGTCACAGCTGAATCTCATTTCATACTCCTCAGACCTCTGACTTGGGTACCATCCAAATAACATGGTCACCAATTTTGCAAAAATGGTGTCTAATTGGTTTAAAAAAAGTAAATTTGTCCCTCCACACTTTCTATTTATGTAATTTCTATCTGCCTTTACGAAATTATTGGTACATTTAAATTTTTAATAGTGAATGCCACATTTGGACATGTTCAGAAGATGGCTTAATCTGGTTTACAGATGTTCAGGGAATTTAATTATCACTGACAATTTTGCTCTGAATGAAATGACACATTCAACCATAACTAATCGCATGCATCCATTTATTGCTGATTTCTTCATTTTAAAAATATTAACATTTTATAGTAAAATTATCAATCATGGTTACAGCTTACAGACACAATTCCTATAACAAACATATTCCAGTTCATGTCTAGTGTGAGATTCAATGTTGTACTTTTGTGCAGAATAGCTCGTTTTGTAAAATGAGTTCAAAAATCATAATGGGACTTTTACTCTTTAAAGTTAGCTTTATGCTACTTTCTGTTCAAAATTTCATAAGTCAGATGGATCAATACAACAGCAGTTTTATGTACATCAGCTGATCTATGTGACAAAAGGTTCTGGATTTATTTCAAAATTTTCAACATTCCTCTTACCTGAAGGAGAAATGTGTCTCCAATTTATGACAGGCTCTGGTCTTCCATTAGCCAAGCACACAAGAGTCACATTGCTGCCTTCATTCACTGTGATGTTGGATGAGATGTTGTAGATTTTTGGTGGAACTGTGGAGAAAATGTATATCTTAATCATAAAATGGGTTAAGATGTCTCTCATTACCACATATTAATTTTACTGTCAGCCAGTATTCAATGACAATTTAAGAATCCATAGCAAGTAGGTTATCTGATTATTTCCAAGCCTAATTTTAATATTAATCAAACCCATGTGTTGCAAACCATATTATGAATGTACAATACGTAAATTGTGCTTAAAATCTCATTGTGCGATCTATATTAAATTCCACCATCCATTTGAAATTTTGAGACACAATTAGACTGTGGGACGTCTAATTATTTCAGCAGCATTCATGAGCCATCTCCTTCTGTTCTCCAGGACTTGTGCATCAGATTCATGGGCAAATAGATAAGAACAAAGAGTGAATCAATCCAAATTGAAACAGATCTGAAGTAGTTTGTAGTTTGAATTAGTCCAGACAATAGAATTACCCTGAAATGCATATTTATTTTAGCTGTGGTAAGACAGAGGTCACAGAGATAAAGAAAAATATTATTTTGGTATAGCAGAGTTATTGAGAAATTTGGGCAAATGTAAATAACCAAGGCTATGAACAGGAAACTAATATTGCCAATGAAGTTATCTTTTGCGTATATTGAAATAAAATTCCTGCATAAATAATGGATATGACAATGTGCAATTAAACTAGTCTGATTAGATTATTCAATGGATTATAAACAGTTTTGACTATTTTACAACTAACTATTTTATTTTGCAATTCTATAGTTGTGTACCAAATGTACTTTACTCAAAACTCATAAATTGCACAAAATAAATAATTTCTAAAGGTTCATAACTTTCAACAGATTTGATTCAACTCGGAAAAGAGTAATGAATCATTGCACAATATATTCTTTTTCATGTCACATAAAGCATTGTATCTTCTCAAAAAAAAATTAATAATGGCCACAGTCAATGCATCCACACTTGTCTTCAGGCAACAGTACTGCGTTATCACGATTCTGTATCCCCATTTCTGAACAAATTACTTTGTCTATACTGTCTAACATATCTGGCTGGCACAAATGAGCTACATCTTCTCATGAACACCTTTTGAAGGGGATAGAAGTGAACTAAAAGTAGGTCTGTAAGTGTCAATCAGTTTTTTTTAATATAGCAATTTGTATGTTTTAAAAATTTGAACAGTGAATTTTCACACTGCATGGACAAACGTAAAAAAAAATCCATTTGAAAGAACTAACACTTTTATGGTCTTCCCACGCACAACATTGAAGAGCACATCTAAAAGACATAACATATAAAAGACATAGAAAGACAGAAGCTAGGAGCTAGAGTAGGCCATTCAACTCTTTGAGCCTACTCTGCCATTCGATGGCTGTCCTCCATCTCAATGCCATAGAATTCCACAAAGTTCACAACATTTAAGTGGAGGAATCTTTCCTTATCTCAGTCCTAAATGATCTACTCTGTAGTCTGAGATTGTATCGCTAGGTTCTAGACTCCCCAAACAATACATGGATTATCTGTACTTTTCCCTTGATAACTGAACTCACTCATCCATGGACAATGCCGCATGACTAAAAGTACTGCAGTCTTTGAAGAATTTTAATTGTACATTTCTGTTCAATTGTCTCAGTCAGCTTTTTACATACATCCTGTATACAATACAGTATAAATCAACAAAAAAAAACAGGATTCCAGGCTGATAACAAAGGTTGCTACAAGACCTGAAAGTTTCCTTGAAATCCAGTTCCAGAAGTTCGTTGTTTTTGCCTGCAAAGCACATCAGTTCTCTAGATACCAATATCATCTTGCTATATCAATCCCACCTCAAAGGAGTTCTGCAATACCATACCTAGAGCTATCTAGATGTTGGTCAACTTTAATTCATGATTGAAGGAATCATCATTGGTCCCTAAATCAGATGATTTCTTTTATGACCAGTTTCAGGGGAAGTTATCATGGGTAATGAGTGATGAAATGGGTCCCATTCATTACTCACCTGTCCCTCGATTGGTTACAACAAGAGTTCATTTAAAAATGTTATCTTCCACTGTGGATGGCTTTCTCCCAGATCCCTGTTAACTTATGTTAAAGGAGTCAACTAAGATTTCATGAGTTTATTAATTACTAAACTCAAGAAAAAATAAAAATGCAACACACATGGAAACATATTAGACGTCAGAGGTGAGTCCAAAAAGATCAAATGTTCAGAAAATGGATCATTTTTGATCAACTTATTTGTGAAGAGTGAATAATCTAATTTTCTGGCTGCCACAGTGGAAGCTGAATGGTCACTTTTAAGATTCCTGGCTTTTATAGTTTGATTGAAACTGTTTTTCCAGATTCTATTTGGCAGTGATTGATTCACAGGATTCAGTGTGAGAAAATATTTTGCCCTGCTTTACTTGCTATTTTGGGTGTTTCACTGGATGTTCTCAAAGCTATACCATTCATAGCATACTATTTCACACACTAGGATATCAGGCCAATAGCACACACAGACTAGTGTTGCTGTCTGTTTTCAAACCCTTTTTTTGATATATTCCTGAAGGTCAAAGCACAAAAGTTCTGCAAGAAGTGGCTTTCTACTGAGAGGGCAGATAGTCAGCTCCACCATTATTTCTTCCTATTACATCTCATTCTCTCTGTTTGAAAGTTTCCTGACACTCTTCAGGCGTACTCTTCTATGGATCCCAAACAAGACTGTATCAGACAGTGAGTGAATTTACATCTGCAGTCATTTTGTGGCTGTAGCAGACTCCTTCTAAAAAACACATTTTGAAGTAGGTTAGGCTAGTAGTAGTAAGGTTAGCAATGTCCACGGAACATTGGGATTGTGATCTATTGTCATCACAATTAATAGCTGCACTTCTAGATTTAATGTTTTCTTAATTATAAAATTCTTTCTCTGTTATTTTTCTGTGCTTGTGAGACAAGTCATAAAGACTACCTCAGGTGTGAATGTGTAAATAACTATCATGCCTGAAAAGTTTGCTGTGATTCTGTCTTAAAATTCATTTCACATAGAAAGGGTTTGAAAAACACAACACTGCATTTTCAAAACTAAACCATTCTGTTTACAGACAGAATATAAAGACACTGAAAGAGTTCAGTCTATCTCCAATACATCAGAGCAAAAGATAAATCTGAAGCATTTGCAAAACTCCTCAGTCAGAAGTGCCAAATGGATGATCCATTTCAGCCTCCTCCAGAAGTCCCCAGCATCACAGATATCAGACCTCAGTCAATTTGATTCACTCCACATGAAATCAAGAAATAACTGGAGGCACTGGATATTGCAAAAGCTGTGTACACTGATCATTTTCTGACTTTATGTGACAACATACTGGCAATAGCAATGCAGAATTGTGTTCCAGACCTTGCCACACCTCGAGCCAAGCTGTTCCAATATGGATACAACACTGGCATCTACCCGACCATGTTGAAAGTTGCCCAGGTATGTCCAGTATACAAAAAGCAGGACAAGTCCAAAGCAGAGAATTACTGCTCATCAGTCTACTCTTGATCATCGGGAAACAGACAAAAAGTGTTATCAACAGTGCTATCAAGCAACATATACTTGGTAATAATTTATTCACTGATGCTCAGTTTGGTTTCTGCCAGGGTCAACCAGCTCTTAACCTCATTACATCCTTGGTTTAAACATGGGCAAAAGAGCTGAATTCCAGAAGTGAGGTGAGGGTGTCTGACCTTGATACCAATGCTACCTGAAACCAAGTGTGGCATCAAAGAGCCTAAACAAAGCTTGTCAATAGGAAAAGGGGGAAACTCTCCATTGGTTAGACTCAGAGCAAGCACAAAGGAAGGTTGCTGTGGTTGTTGGAAATCAATCAGCTCAACCTCAAGACACCACTTGCAAAAGTTTCTCTCGGTAGTGTCCTAGGCCCCACCATCTTTAGCTGCTTCATCAGTGACATCCCTTCATCAAAGTCAGAAGTGGGGGCATTTACTTATAATTGCACAATGCTTATCACCGTTTGTGACTCCTCAGAAACTGAGGTAATCCATGTCCAATTGCAGCAAGATCTGGATGACACTCAACTTTGTCCTGGAAATTGAGATGAGTAGCCTGTCAAAACCACAAACACCTTCCTTTGTGATAGGTATTTCAAAGAGAACTGATGGAACCAGCATATTCCTTAGGGAAGATTACCATACTGTATTTGTAAAACTAGTTGTTTAATGATATGTTCATACGTCCGCACAACAATACTTGGTCGCTAACAGGGAAGAGATAGCATTATTGGTGTCAGGTGCAACAAGGAAATACTTCCCTCTCCAAAAATAGAACACTATTCATTTTTACAGTAAAATGGCAGCAGGCATAAGAACAAGCTAAAGGAATATGAAAGAAAACAGAGACGCCATTAGAGATTTATTATAGCTTCTCTACTGTTTCTTTGCCCTTTTATTCTGTCAGGAAAAAAATATCATGTGGCCTTTACCTTATACTTCCTCCCCCTCCACCTCCTCGATCCGTCAATTTAATGAGCGCTGCTGACTTTAAAGGTAGCAAGACAAATTCAACGATCATATATCTGAAATTTGAGTATGAGGAATGCGTTCATTTTCAAAAGAAATATAAGCAACATTTCAGTCCCCACATTACCTAGAATAATCACCACCCAAGTTGAACTTGCCTACACTTTCATTTCAGGTTGTTGCCCGATATCCTGCTGGTTCCCCAGAGACAGGCTTACCTCTTGAGGGAGAGAGGCCTGCAGCAGTGGCAATGACCACCAGCTGAAAGGATACCTAAAAAGAAAAAGACCACCCATTCTGACAACCTGAAATGCATAATGAAGGGCATCACTGCTTTTTGCCTTAATGAGCCTGACTTCATGGACAATTCACAAAATATATTTATGCAGTGGCTTACATATTGTATAATCCCCAAAGTTACTTGATAGATATGTAATTTGACAAAAATTGACACAGAGCCGGTACCATCTCTGGGCAGAATGGTGGTTCAGTGGTTAGCATTGCTGCCGCACAGTGCCAG